TGCTTTTTTTAAACTATTTGTACCTCTGAATATTTTCAGTGCTACAGTGTTCTTATTCATGTTTGTGAGAAAAAAATTGCAAGGCTTTTACCTACTTTTTAAAGAACCAGTTACACATATTATAATGAGTGGTAAAAACCCTCTTTTCACACGCCCACATTAGTTTATGTTTCAGTTGATGAGCAAACATCAAAAGGTGCTATGGCACCATCAGAATGATCTGAGTATCTTCTAACAACAGCACACAGACCTAAGATGGTTTAGTGATTACTAATAAATACGGCATAGGTGTGAATACTGAAAAATTACTGCCACACTCTCTTCTGATGATGATTATCATCAAAAACACATCTATTAAAACAAAATAAAATGAAGCCAAAGTCCAAATCCTTATACGATGATGGCATCAATGAATCATAAAGTGTTGAAGCAGAAGTTTAGAGATCTAGAAGCAGGCATGATTTCTGCCAAATCCCTTAGCTCTCATCGAAAACTCTTCATAAAGCCTCCCTGGAACAGGAAATAAAAATAATGCACTAGTTTTAAATAATAATCTGATATACTAATTTTAATACTTAAAAAATAGGTCTTAAAGTTGTAAATTGAATATTTATCATTCTCTGATAGGATGTTCTAATAACATAACTTTTTGTTACAAATTAAGGTCACAGAAACCCTAGGAGGTTGCTGCTGACATCTAGTGGCATAATTTTTAAAAAGCTAAATGTATTTGAGAGAGAGAGACACATATATACATACATATACTATGCAATATTAATTAAACAGACAGACCTCTATGGCAGATTCTCAAGGTCCAGTGGACACCTCACATTACAAATTATTATATTCAGCCTAGACTACATTATCTTCAGCTACTCGATGCCCCCTGATGCTAGTACCACAACACTGAAGAAACAAAAACTAACACGTCTGCTAAAACCTTTGAAATCCCAATTCCCTCAAAGCCATTAGTTCTTTACTGAGAATTGCTAATTCCTGGAGATCCCCAAATACTAATGGTTCCATCAAAACCCGCAACAGACCTAATTTTACCCCAAACTCCCAAATAATAACCCTACTCCAACTTCCACACCTAGCAGTTAGGCACTTCAGGATCCACCTACAGAGACCACTTTGCAGAGCTGGCTAAGGTTTATTTTTAGACCATGTTTCCACAAACAAGCATGTACATTCTAAGTGACCACAAAATTCCTACACACAGATTCAACAATAATCAAAGTCTTAAACATAGCTGCCAGGGACCGCTTTAATGGTTTCTAACCATACAAATGAATGATATACATGAAATAAATTGAAACTTGTGCAAAAGAAGTTAGAAGCACAGAGATAACTTCTAATAGTATGCTAGCAGATTTTGTAGCATGTGTTCATGTGCATGTGCATGTGTGTGTGTGTGTGTGTGTGTGTGTGTGTGTGCATGTGATAGCACAAAGGAAGACACTCTAGTTCTGGGATACATCTTCACGCTGGCATTTGTGAATATAGTAGGTAAACATCTAATTGGTGGACAAATAAATGAATGAGCTGTCGATTCCAGAAGACTTATTTTCCCTGTCGATGCTGATGAAAGCTCCAGAATAGGGCCTGTTCTCAAAGGCTACTGATTTGCTCAGAAGCCAAACTGACTTTGTTGAGTACCTCAGGTCAGATTTTCTCCAGTGATTTTTGCAAAGTGGCACAAAGCCAAGTGGTGATAGAATTAGGCCACCTCTCCTTGGTGAAATGAGCATGTTTCTACAGTGGCTTTATAAATTAGTGGGTTCGAATTTAGATTTTATTCACCATGAAAATAAGTGATAAAAATAGAGTAGGTTCTGAAGGTACTGCTAATTAATATTAAGTAGTTAAATTATATCTCTTCTAGCACAAGGCACTCTCTTTTAGGCTTTTAAATTTCCCTTCAATGGAAAAATCCTGGATATTCAAGAAGTACATTCATTCAAAAGTGTCTGCTTACTCACAAAGGAGAGTGAAAGTGATTAGCAGAAAGACATGGGCCCCTTCATATACAATGATAAATTATGTACCCGCATATATACACACGTGCACACATAGGAAGGCACACAACTATGTATAGATTGATAATAGCAGCCTGATAGCTATTACAGCGGACAGACTTCACAGACCAAAAGCAGGAGAGGAGAGAGAAGGAAAGAGGGTTGTAACATTATTATGGTCCAGAAGGTTAATTCTTAAAGAGAATTGGTCAGGTTAAAAGTTTATAGATTATGGTTATAGGCTGTGGAATAGAAGAAAGAAAAATATGCTTCCACTCAGCCTACTATCAGCCTTCACTTCAACCTAAAGTACATTAAAATATTTAACTAAATATTTACTCTCACATTTTGACCTTTTTATAGAAAAGCTAACTACATTTGAGAATAAAACCTAATGTTCATACACAATAAAGACAAATCCTAGATATGAAATTTTCTTACTTGAAACTCCATTTTCAAACAAAAATGGAATGGAATACTGTTACATCTATCTCACATATGTGAAATATATTATATATAACATTTTAAATACATAAATCTTACTAGATATATTGAAGGACACCTTGCATTGTGACCTAATTTAAATTACCTGTATCTTTGGATTGTAAAATTAAGAATATTGTGACTATACTAGCAACTTCTAGTAATAAGATACTACATGACAATTTATCTAAATATCACCTTTAAAAGTGTCAAGTACAGATTTTTCAAGTATCTTCACACAGAAAATTAGCTGTTAATTCAACTCATTCGTACTCTGGGATCCTTTGCCAGAATTAATCCTACACAAAATGAAAGCGGCCATCATTATTCACTTACAACTAGGGTAAGAAGCACGGTTGTATTCATCTAAAAAATTGCACCTTTATGAGTATGTCTTAAACCTCCACTATTTAAGCACTGAAAACTAAATGTATATGTCTCATCTGAAATAATGGAGACAAAACATTCATACATTAGCACTCTCTGTCGTATTTGTAGGAATTCATTGAGATGAAAACACCCGTTTAAGTGAATCTAAAACACAAAAGTCCAGAGAATTGATATCAGCCCAGCTTTCTCTAGCAGTTCTCCCACCTCAGTCCACTCCTCCACAATCTGCTATAAAGTCAGACGGGTCCTGGATCACAATTTCCTTGGGAGTTTTATTGCACCAAAGCATCTTTGGCTCTACGTAAAATGCCTCGTTTATTCTCATGATGAAAACAAGCAAATTTTGTCATTCTGGGTTCACAGTATGAATGAGAATTCCCCTCCCTACTCCTAAGCTTCCTCTACTACCTTCAATTCAGAATAAGTCTATCTATAAATATAACTATATAAAATATCTTCCTAATGAATTGAATGTATTAGTATACAAATACCTCTGAGAAAGGAAACATTAGACATGAACACATCCTGCCGTGTCTGCCCTCCCCTCATCCTTTCCATTCATTCTATAGCACAGGGCTCCATGACACCCTTACTGGCTCTTTTCCATACAGTGCGAGACACTCTCGCACACCTTCTGAACGGCTCCATCTTCCACTGACTCCCCTGTCAGACTCGCTTCCTACCACCGTCGTCCTATACCTGTCCTGCAGTTCCACCTCAACGGCTTCCTCATAGTGCCTAGGTGTTAGGTTTTGTCATCATGTCCTTCCTCGGGAAGCACAGAAATGCTCAACTCACTTTATTGTCTATTTCAAACTATGCTAAATTGAATTAACATTTTTGGAGTAGATGAAGCTTAGAAAATAGCGTCCTAATTCAAAAATCGTCTTTAGGTGAGAGACGTCATTTGCTCAAAGGTTTTACGTATCTTTTGAAGAATTAACTGAATGTCAAAATTAAGTACAAAGGCTTCACTTTACAATGTAACAATTATTTTTGATAACTGCAAATAAAAGTTCAAAAACCAAATTTGTACCAATACCCATTAAATTTAAAGTTCTACCCTTCCTTCAGTATTTGTATGTTTTGGAAGACTTCAACAAGTAGTCAAAAATAAAAGTTAGTTCCAGTAAGTACGTAAGGACATAACACATTTCAGTTATTATGTATGTTTATATACACATAGTAAAATTATAGATATACACGCAGAGAGTACTCACTAGAGGCAACCAACTCCCTTCAAAATTCTGACTGAATCATTTCTGTAAAGATCTCTTTTAAAATAGTAATTTTATTCATAAAATACATATAATGTGCTTCTATACTCACACTTTGTTTACATGCATATGTCATTAGAATATTTGCATGAGTTTTTATATTCTTGGGACAACATATGTAAATAAATCACATAGCAATTTGAAAATTTAGCAACTAAATATGCAATCTGTTAAGCATAATCAAGCATGCTATTCAACAACTGTATAATTCAATCTTTCCAGAGAAAATATGTATTTTATATGAGTGTCTTTGTAAAATTTGATGTAGTTTTCTAGAAATGTATAACAATTTTTTTGCAACATCAAACAATGCCAGCTGACTAATGCTTAAATAAAGGAACAATTCATCCTTCATCACTGGAGACTGATGAGAGTCTCATTCTCTTATTTCTTAACACTTGTAAATATGTTACAACAATAGAAATTATTTCCAAATAAAGAGAATGCAATCTTCTTATCAAGGTACTATTACTGTAATAACATTAATGAGAAAGTGCCATCATAAAAGTAATTCTTATCTACAATGTTTCTCTAAGCTACTATATATTTAAAATCTTATTACTGTTCACTTTATAAATATGGTTATCACCATAAATCCTTCCACTTTTCAGATGATTTACTTTTTTTTTTTTTTTTTTTTTTTTTCTGTACCAGGGATGGAACTCAGGACCTTGCCTTTGTGAGGCAGGTGGCAGAGCCACTGAGCTAAATCCTCAGCCCTGATTTACATTTCTGATGAGTCACTCAATACTGAAAACCACTACTCAAGGAAAGTCAATAGTTTCATGTAGTAAACAGACAAAAAAAATCAATTCAAAATAAGCATTACTACCTTGATCAGACTTTTCATAAAAGACAGCAGATCTCTTGCCAGGTAATACCATTTCTTTGGGTTCTGTGGGCAAAGAGAAAAGAGATGAACAAAACAACTTTTCCTTTTAGTCTTTAAGTGCTTCTTTAAATAGATTCATTAATAATAAAGGTCAGAGAAGAAAATCGTTTAGCAAAATATTCAGCTCCATTCAGCAGCTGCCTTGGGAACCACTTACTTTAAATGCCAAGTAACATCCCCAAAGGTCCTCTCTCCCCTGCAGCTGAGAACATGGGTGACTGGGGCATGACTCAGCCTGACTTCTCAGCTTCTTTTTCTTCTCTTACATGGGAATAAGTCTTATACTTCAAGAAGGAAAGCATCAGCTTCCATCATTTCAAAAGATAAGATGGCAAGCATGCTGAAACAGAATATTGACTCGGAATACAATGAACTGAAATTAAATTTGCAATTATCTAATCTTACTTTCCTCCCTTTCCTAATGAGTATGGGATTTAAAATATTCATGAAGTTTTGGGTCTTTCTACCAAAGGGGTAAAATGAGATAGTATGGGCTGACTCTGTAAATAATTGCTGATTACTCTCCTTATGAGATGCAATTTCAAAGCTTTTCTGTACTGCAGTGAGGAGGAAAGTACTTTGTAGAAGTCAGAAGTTATGAAAATGTATCTCATTCCCTCCCTTAGCATATAACAATCTTTAGGAGTATCCCATAAAAGATTTTATTGCATCATTATCTGAATGTTCAGATTGGAGGATAAGAAATTCAGTCTGAGCAATAGCTTTCCAGAAAGGGCCATCATGCAGATAGGTAAGGATTTTAAATTCACGCCTTAACAAAGTTATTTGTCTGAAGGAATGTTAACAGTTAAAAGTGGCATTGATTAATTGACTGTAGCAGTCGTTATAAGAATAGCCATATGAATGTAAATCACTACAACATCTTACCAGATGTATGGCCTTGGGAAACTAAATTAAACCCTTGTAAGTCTTTATTTTTCATCTATGATATGGGAATGATAATTCTTCCTACTTCAGATAGCCTATAGGAAAGCTAAGTGAGATAAAAGTAGGCAAAGGACACAGCATAATACCAAGCTAAGCATTAAATGTCAGCCAATATTAGTACCACCATCATTATTATTACTGTTATTAGCATTATTCTGTTTTTAATAAATCTCACTGCCCCACTGAGAATCAATGTTCTAATGAGCAACATGGAAAAATGATGAAATCATATCATATTGGACATTAACTAATTTGCTCATTTATTAACAAGGCTCTGACAACAAAGGAAATAAAGCGTCATTTAAAGTCTTTGGCAGGAGGAGGGAAAGGACTGAAAGTATTCCAGGAAGGTCATTGTAAATTGTCAACTGCTCTATTATCCTGTCTCTCCTCAGTTTTAATGAGGATTTCTCTTTGAAGAAGCCTCCACAACACTTCGATATACTTCAAGATTCACTTAATGCAACTGGCCCTGGTCTACTCTCAGGCACATTCAATACCACTCAGAAAACACCTAATGGGCTCCTTCTGTAATCCAGGCCCTGTGATGCACTTAAGAGAAACTACAGTAAACCACAAACCTTCAAGAAAAAGTTTAGTGAAGGAAACGCACCTGGGGACAATTATTTTAAGTAATTGGTGGAAATACTATCACTAAACAACATATAATGTGTTGAAGCAGCAGAAATTATGGAAAGAGTATTCTTCAGGAAATTAAAGAGGAAAAAGAGCCCATTTAGAAAATAATCTTTAAAAATAGTCAGAATAGCTGAAAGAGTACACATGGCTGACAATTAGTCCTGTGGGTGTGAGCAAATTTCACAAAACAGAATGACTTCGAAAGACTAAGTCTGGATGTTGATTGTCCCTCAGAGGCCCAAGTGTAAAGGGTTGGTCCCAGGCTAGGGATATGTGGAAGCGATGGGACCTTTAAGATGTGGGGTTTAGTCAGAGGTCATTAGGTCACAGGGGACAGGGAACAGGGCCTTTAAAGAAGCTGTAGCACCACCCTATGGTCTTCTCTGGCCTGTAAGGTGAGGGGTTTGCCCTTCCATCTGCTCCCGCCATGATGTCCTGTCCCTGTCAGATTTGATCATGGACCACTAGAACCATGCGCCAAATATAAACTTTTCCTCTTTTTAATTTTCTTATAACAGTTTGCAATGTGACAGGATGCTCACTAATACAGGCAGGTAAGTGATGTTCTGTCAGAGAGTTAGAAAAATGCACACAAAGAACCGGAAGTATTAACAAAATGGAGAGCAGATTAACATGTGGTGAAGCTCACTCAGTATGCATAGGTCCTCTCACAAAATACCCAGAGAGTATCAAAACAGAGAAATGCTGTCGACAATACTGGAATGAAAGTGGACAAAATATAACGGTATCTCCAGGAACTGGAACCCTGACAGGTTAAGAAACACTGTAGACTCAGAACTGCATATTGTATATTTTGAAAAAGTGCAATACACATGATTAGAGATGAAAGTAACATTAGTTGGGTATGGTGACACATGCCTGTAATCCCAGCACTCTGAGAGGCTGAGGCAAGAGAATCACAAGTTTCCAAGTTTAAACCAACCCTAAGAAATTTAGTGTTTTAGCGAGAGTCTGTCTCAAATTTAAAAAAAAAAAAAGTTTTATAAGGGTTTAGGGATGTAGCTCAGTGCAAAAGCCCTGAGTTCAATCCCTGTGCCATAAATAGATAGGTAGATAGAAACAGATTGAGAGACAGACAGACAGAAATGTAACCAGGAAAAGACCCTAACTACAGTTACACACACAGTAATCCCTAACTCCATTCTAAGCATCAGGTAGACCAAAGTCTGCGTAACATCTGTTGCCTGTTAAATTATATGATATGTTGAAGCCTTCCGACCCTGGTACTTCTAAATATGACCTTCAATGGAGATAAAATCATTATTGATGTTATTAAGATGTAAACAAATATAAGGATTCCCTGTAGTGGGCCCTTAATCCAGTGTGATGGATGTCCTTAAAAGAGGAGATGAGAACAGAGGTAAACACACAGAGAAGAGTGCCGGGTGGAGATTACAAAGACACCCAGAGAAAGAATGCTACATGACCACAGAGGCAACAACTACAAAGAAACATCCTCACCATAATAATTGCCAAGCTAAGCTAATGCCAACAGGCTAAAAGAAAGGCTTTATGTATTCTCCCTGACAGCATGATCCTGATACCATCTTGATTTTGGAGTTCTAGACCCTAGAAATAGTACGAAGTGAATTTCTCTTCTTCTACACCACTCTTTTTAAGGTAATTTGTTACAGCAGCCATAGGAAACCAATAAAAAATCATTGCAGCTAACAAGAATCTGATATCTACCAGACTCTGATCCCCTGGAGCTTAAAAAAATAACTTACACAGTATCAACATTAGTTCACCAAATACATTCTCAAATTGGAAAGTATGAAGCTATGTAAGAAAAATAAATCGAAATTAGAAATCATGGAGATTTCTTATTCCCTCCCCCAGGCAGTCTCCCCTATAGAGCTAGAATCCTCTGTAAGCATAATGAAAAGGGATCTGCCGGTCTCATTTTCCCCACGTCCTACTTTTCCCAAATAGTTAATCTCATGTCCCAGTGTCTCTGCAATATGAAGATGGAGTAAAGAAGGGAAAGTGAGGAAAGAGGGAACAAGTTGTGAAGGGAAAGGTAAATGCTCTGGTCACTAAGCCAAGAGGCTCTCTCTCTGGGGATGGGATGCATTCAAGATTCATTATGTCTTTGTGGATCCTTTTCCAGATTTTTCAATGACTTTATCTCTACTCACTGGAGACCTTCCATCTGCACTATTGCTGATGTGGGTCAAACGGTCTCAGTTTATCACTCCACTCATAGCTCCAAGGGACACCATCAGGCCTATCTACCGAGAACCATTCACCTGCTGGGAAGGTGAACTTCCGAAGGAAAGGAACTAAACGACCTACGCCAACCCTCCCATATGTGCGGCACACATCTCTTTCACAGGAAACTCCCTAACACTCCCCAAAAGAGTAAGATCACTGCAATTTAGCACCTCTGCATTGATGTATCTTAAGCTGCTGATGAACTCATCATTTCTCACTTATGGTCATCAGAAACCAGTCCATAGCCTCCACTATCTCCCCAAAACATAAAGAGATATGTATCAATATCTTCACTGAGTCTCCTTGAAGCACCTCTTTCTTGTACCAGGGGGGAAAGCCTACAGCCTCCCTCCGTATGGGTATTTCCAGCACATTCAGCTAATTCTAAATATATCTCTCTGTAATCCTCAAGTCTTCCAACCTTTAGGGATTAGGAAGATGGAGTTACCAAACCTCTCTTCTCTGTATTAGGAAATTTCTACAAGATAATCTAGCTCATAAATCATGCTAGGATCTGATACCTATTGCTTTAAGGGATCAAAATTTAACAATTTTACAATCTATAATAATAATTTTTCACAATCTGTATTTTAATAGATCTACAGGAGAAGCAACTAAAAATTATGCCTACTGGATATGTATGGTTTAATAAAAACTATGGTGAACATTTAAATTTTTAATGAATTTATTAGAGTAAAAGATACATTGCTATTAACCTCCCTCAAAATGTTTTCCCTCATTTCAGCACACATCCCATCATTCTTATCACTTTGTGAAGCAGACATTTTTTCATAAGTGTCTTTAGTTGTGCTGTTGTGATTGCCTCCATCCCTGAATCTGCTCGAAACATTTTCCTTTCATGGTCGTTTTGACTTGGAGAAACAGTTAAATCTGGTGAATAAGATTCTGGTGAGTAAGGTAGGAAAGGGTACAGTGTAACTGTGTTTATTTTACAGACATGGACATAAATATTTGATCAGTGGCAGTGATCATAAAATACGGTAAAGGTTTAAATAATATATATATCCAACATGAAAAAAATATATATATATTCTGAGTGTCCCATGATATTTCCATTGTTAGTCAATAGTATCCCTCCTACTCAGTCCGGCACAGTCCCTGGTGGCTGCCACATTGTTCACCTCAGTTCCATTCTCTGTCTATTTCTTCTGGCTGTGGTT